GATTTAAAGCCAAAACGAATTAGAGGCTTGCAGAATTATTTTTGGGGGCATACTAGCAAATGGTCCTGGAAAAACACACACATTTCAGAATGAGATACGTCCTCTATCATTCATGTGTGGTTTTATTCCCATTTTAGGTTTGGCTCGTATTATTAATTTTTAAAAATATATAAAATATTGGGGCACCTGGGTGGCTCAGTGGGTTAAGGCCTCTGCCTTCGGCTCAGGTCATGATCCCAGGGTCCTGGGATCGAGCTCCACATTGGGCTCTCTGCTCAGCGGGGAGCCTGCTTCCGCCTCTCTCTCTGCCTGCCTCTCTACCTACTTGTGATCTCTGTCTGTCAAATAAATAAGTAAAATCTTAAAAAAAATATATATATATATATATAAAATATCTTTCTTATAGATAGCTTACATGCAGATAGTTATTTAAGGCATATGGATTTGAATTCTTAGCCTAGTTCTACAACTAAGTATGTGACCTTAGGCACCTTACTTCTCTAATCTTTAGTTACTGTATCTAAAAATAAGGATGGTAACAGTACCTACTTCCCAGATTTTAGTAAAGGTTAGAATTGCAATAAAGAACTTAGCACAGATTCTACTACCAAAAAAAAAAAGCTCAATAAATATCATTAATATCACTACCATCATCATTTCTTTTCTTTTCTTTTTTAATTTATTTCACAAAGAGAGAGATCACAAGTAGGCAGGCAGAGAGAGGGGGAAGCAGGCTCCCCGCTGAGCAGAGAGCCCGAAGCGGAGCTCGATCCCAGGACCCTGAGACCATGACCTGAGCTGAAGGCAGAGGCTTAACCCACTGAGCCACCCAGGTGCCCCTATCATCATTTCTTAAAATCAGCTTTATTGAGGTATGATTTAGACACAATAAAATGCACCCATAAATTTTAACAAATGTTGACACCTGTGTAACTATCACCACAATTGAGACATAGAATATTTACAACATAATTCCCAAGTCATTATTTTAAAACCAGAAAACTGATGTCTTATCTGGTAATAACACAAAGGCAAAGTCACTATGTAAAAGCAACGCGTGGTAGCAAATATAAGAAAGAATGAGTATGTGCTAACTAGGATTACAAAACCATGGACATGTAGCAGAAGGAGCATTCCTTTTGAGGAGGTGGGGTAACTGGTCAGATATACTGCTTATTATTGCTTCTGCCTATTCAGCATTAATTCCCTCTTTTCCTGTTCACAGCCCTTTGTTTGTCCTTTGGGGGAAACAACTCTTCCCCAGTGCTTTACGTTTTAGGAGTGGGACTGTTTAACCCCTGGTTTCAGTTTTGTAATTTCTGCTTTAATTCTTGCTGGGGTGGGGGGGGAACCCCACTGTTACTGCTAATACTGCTTGATACAAGTTTGGAGGAGCAGAGAGCAACTGAGAATGAAGGTACCATAGAGGAAGGTGAGCTCATGGGATGGAGAGAAATCTTGTGCTGACATCATCATCCAAGTACCCAGAAGCTACATCTATTCCTGGTCTTTAGTTGCATGAGGACCTAAGAACCTTCATCGCGGACCAGCCTTGTTCTTCAGTTTGTGTTCAGGAGCCATGAATGAGTGGCCTCTGCTCATCTCTGCTTATGTGGGCTCAGAAAGAACATCTATGAGAATGCTCTCCAGTTTTCTAAGTGGAAGGTCATTGTATGGCAGGTGTAAAATAAATTGGACAACTGAAGTCAAAAAAGTTACAGATTCAGACTACTGATACTGAAAGTAGAACTATTTAGAGTAATTGTTTGACTAATTGGAAGGAATTCAGACATCTTCCTAAGAATTTAGACCAAGTTATTTTGCCTAAATTATTTCTATATTTCCTATGAAAGTGATTTTTGTTTTATTTGCCTTCATAGCTACAGCCTATATTGTCACACATGTTACTGTTTCTTCCTTAGTAAACATGTGTCCCTTCTATTGGCATTTTGCAGCTCTGAAGTATCCATTGCTGTTCTGAGCTGGGGCTATAGCAGCAGACAACACAAAAATCCTCAAATTTATGGAGCTTAGTTTCTAGGAAGAGAGAAAGAACTGTACCTTCCATGTGCCAATTTTGTACTAAATACTACTGCATTCTAATTCTCTTTTTCTGATAATGTTGCCTGAAGTGTGGGAGGTGTTTTTGGAAGTTCTGGATTAAATTAATAAGAAATGAAATGTTATCCACACATATTTGTCTGCAAATGGGCATATTAAGGTGTATGTGTATATGTGTCACTCCTCTCAGCTAGGTAACCTGGTTTAAGTTACAATTCTGGATCTCAATTTCTCATCTGAAAAATGGGGATTATCATAGTACCAATATTACCAGGTACATATTAAATGAATATAAATAATTTAGCATAGTGTCTGGCACAAACTAAGCGCTTGACAAATGATAGCTAATATTATTATTATTAATAAATTTATTTTACTTTATACACAGTTGCCCAATATTCTGCAATAGGAGAAGATCAATCATTGTGGCCCCCATTTTGTTTCATTCATTTAACATTTGTTGAATATCATGTGCCAGGCCCTCTGTGGCATATTGTTTTTTTAGACATGGCTGTAACAGTATCTCCCGTTCTGTCACTTCCCCACCTAGAGGCATAGTCTCATTCTCTTCCCTTTGAATCTGTGAGAGATTGTGACTTGCTTGTAGTTATTGACAGTGGTAGAAAATTGTGACTTCTAAGGCTAGGCCATAAAGGGTGGTGCAGCTTTCCCCTTGTGAGATGGGGCATTCACACTAGAGTCCTGAGACTGCCATGCAGTGAGGAAGTCCAAAGTCAGGCACACAGAGAGCATGTGGAGAAGCCCTGGGCCCATCCAAGGAGAGGGAGCAGCTCAGCCAACCACCCTTGCTCCGATGCCTGTCACCATCTGACTGAGAACAGAGGAGACACTCTAAGATGGAACTACCCAGCTAAACTCTCCCCCAGATTCCTGACCCACAGAGGTCATGGAAGAAAATAGAAAGATTGTTTTAGACCGTTAAGTTCCAGTGTGATTTCTTACGTATCCATAGAGAACCAGAACACCTACCTTTTAAGTGCTCAAAATCCAGCATTAAGTAGATCTTTCTCATCCTTGGCAAGTGAGGAGCAACTATTTTCAGGGTTTTAATTATCTATCCCATAGCTGTTTGGGCCCGCTCTCAAGTCTAAATTTGTAGCTACAACACCAAACAGATCACACTCATTCATTCATTTCTGCATTCAATAAACCAATCAATTTATTTCTCAACATAGATGTCTTCTCTGGCTCCTGAGTTGGCAACTTTTCCCTGTTTTCCCAAGCACTGAGGACTTCTGTCTCACCACGCAGCGCTATTGCTTTTCTCCCGTCTCTCCCACCGACCAGCAGCAGTTAAGTTCATTCTGTTCCTCATCTTAGTATCCCTATCATCTAGTTTAGCGCCTGCACACAGCAGACCTATTTAAACAAACAAACAAACAAACAAACAATCAAACAAACAGGAAAACCTTAACTGAAGGAGAGCCGCTAGTTCCTGGACATACAAAAATTCATTCAGGGACAGTCCTTATCCTCCAGGAGTTCACAGTTCAGCACTAGGCACTGTGGGAACCAGCCGTGACAAGTGCAGTAAAGTGAGGGGCTTGGTTTGATTCCAGCGGTGAAGAGGGAAAACAGGGCAGCGCCCTCGGGGTGGGAGATGGGGAAAGATTTATTCATTTATTCCACAAATTTTTGTCAGTCACCGGAGTACGAATATCACTCATTGTACGTGGTAAGCTCTAAATTTTTGTTACTGAATGGAAGCCGCTGGTCTAGGTGTTGGGAATGCAGCAGCGTACAAGAAAACTGCAGTGGTCTGTGCCCTCGGGAACCTCACAATGTATCAAAGGACAACAGGCAGGACGTAATTATGTAAAATTGTGCTAGATGCCCAGCAGGAAAACAACAGGCGGCTGAAATTCTCCTAAGGATGTTAGATCCTTTGGCTGGGGGCAGCCGTGGGCGGATTTTGAGCAGGAGTGGCCATGAGGGGGACAGACTGTGGGGGGAGAGAAGACTGCAGGCAAGAGAAGCCGGTAATTCAAAGATGCAAATATTTTCTGCTTGACTGGAATAAGGAGCGTGTGTTTAGGGTTGACATGGTGGTTCGGTGCGCTCGAGGTTCTCCCGGGGTAGGCAGCTGCATTTTGAATGAAAGCTTGATTGCCCAGCCGTTGCAGCGCGGGCTGAGGGGAACTGCAACCCCAATTCCCAGTTTTTTCATGCTAGGCATATTTAGGGTCCTCTGTTCCCCAGACCTGCAGAAGCACCACCTCGGGTTCGAATTCGGGCGACAGTAAGTCAACAAGATCCGGAGTGGGAAAGGCCCATGCACCGCAGCGATCTCCCCTTTAGCACCAGGTCTGCAACACCGTGCGGGCGGGAGGGGGCGGAGCTTGTGTTGCGGACCTAGGCGGTGGCGTGGGCCCGCCCCTTACCCCAGGCCCCGCCTCCATGCCCCGCTGATTGGATCAAGGCCCCACGGAAGGGCCGGGAGTCCCCGGGAGGCAGGGGGGTCGGGCTGAGGCGGGCGTGCTGATTGGTCCGGCTGGGATTAGGTCACCACTAGCAGGTTCGAGCGGCCCGGACGCCGGCGGGGCTGCTGAGGCTGCTGTGAGAGGGAGCTCGAGGCTGCTGGAGAGCTATCAGGAGAAGGAGGCGGGGAGGCGGCGGCTGCACTCGCTCGCCTGCTAGCTCGCTTCCCAGCACCGCTGCGGGTCCGTCGCTGCGTTTCCTGCCCGCCGGCCGCTCCGTGGCGCGCCGCCGGAGCAGCCGCCCCTCGGCCGGGTCCCCACTCCGAGGGTCGGGAGTCGTGGGCGCCGGCGGACACCGCGCGGAGGGCGAGCCGGCGCCACACCTGTGGAGCCGGCGGGCGTGGGGGGTCCCGGTCGGGGTCCCGCCGCGTGCGTGCTCGGGGCTGCGGGCCTCCCGGGCACTGGGGGAGGCGCGCCCCCCGGCTGGGCGACGCGAGCACTATGGGGCTCCCAGCGCTTGAATTCAGCGACTGCTGCCTCGACAGCCCGCACTTCCGAGAGACGCTTAAGTCTCACGAAGCGGAGCTGGACAAGACCAACAAATTCATCAAGGAGCTCATCAAGGACGGGAAGTCACTCATCAGCGCGCTCAAGAGTGAGTGTCCCGAGTCCGGCGGGGATGGGGCCCTGACGCGTCAGGGCGGTCGGGCGGCTCTCGGCCCTGGGCGTCCGCGCGCCGGCGGCTGCCGTTCCGCCCTGGGTGCACTGAGGGCCTGCTGTAGATGCTTACCTTGGGGCGTGAAGGGTTCGTAGGATGGGCGAGCCAGCAGCAGTCGACGAGGAAGGGCACCGGCCCCCCCGGCCGTTGGCGTTCTAGGCTGGCCGGGAGGTGACCCAGGGCGAGCGGGGCTCTGGGGTGCGGCGGCTAGGTGTGCGCGGCACACAGGTGTCCCAGGAGCCGGACGCCTGTGCCTGGCGCGCCGCACCGGGTTGGGAAATGCCGTCGCGTCCACCACGCCGGCTCCCTTGGGTGAACACTCGCTCACCCCTGGGTACCCAGCCGGGGAAGCAGAACGTGCCCTGCCAAGGGGGCGCTACCTCCCCTCAGGAGAAGGCGGCTCGGGATTGCTTCGGTCTCAGTCCGCCAGCCCGCCCGGGGCCGCCGGGTTCTCCGAAAGGCACCGGCGCTGCCAAGGAAGGGCTGGGTGGAATGGTTGGTTAGCTCGCGGTTCCGGGCGGTAGAGGCAGCCGGTGACCCAGGGCCGTGTACGTGTGCAGGTTGTGATTCTTGTGTTTAGCAGAAGGTGACAGCGGTGGGAGTACAGCATCAGAGTGTTCCTTTACTCTAAACCGTGGGCAAGGGTTTAAAAATAGAACGAACATATCCTGACTCTCTCCCTCTCCCGCTCCCTCGCTCTCCTTTCTACCTCTCCCATTATCCTTGAAAACTCAAAGGTTTTAAGGGAATGTCCTCTGGCCTAACTCAGAAAGCAGAAGTTTTAAGCTCATCCTTCAAGATTCTGGAGCCTTTTGTAAAACCATTTTTACTTATTTCCTTTTGGTGGGGGAGAGGGGGCGGAGCGGGGCGAAGAAATGAGATTTGCATTCTGTGTATGATTTTCTCTTGACTTTTGCAGAGCCAGAGAGTTTCTCCTGGGCAAACAAGAGTGTTCTAGGGATGAGCTCTTTGGATTGTGAGGTCGTTTTTGGTGCCTTGTCAATCTGCCCGTTTAAAAATAGTTCGGTCCATCTTTTAGTTTTGAGAATCAGGAATGACGTGAAGGAAGATAGCGGAATTGTCTTTGACTTTACTTTTCCTGTCTGTGTGATGGATTTCTTAATAGGCCATACCTTTCAGCTAAGACAGGTTGCCCTGACTGTGTGGGGTCCTACCTGTGAAAATTCTTCCCAGGCCTCTTGAAAGGAGACTTCCAGAAATCAAGTGCCTGAGATGTCATTTTTTTGATCCTGTTGCCTCTAAAAATGAAAAGGGAGATAATGGAACCCCAAGACAGCAATTGCCAGTTTTTTGGGGTGAAATACACATGAAATTGTGGTGTGAAGAGGTTCTTCAGAGGCAGGGTCTCTGATGATCTGAAGCCTATGAATAACTCTTTCTTTCTCTGTGACCTTCCTTGGTTCAGGGAACACTCCACCCTGGGTTTGGAGTAAGTTAGGAGCTCCCTCATAGACTGGGCCCACGAATTTTGACTGAATCTCAAGCTGGGTTTAAGTGGGCTTCTGTTTTATTCAGCAAACATATGGAGTGTCTGCTGTGTGCTAGGTGCTGCCCTGGGCCCTGACCACGGAGCAGTGAATATTCTGTTCCCCTGTGGCTACAGAGACTGACTCCTTGCCAGTGAATTATCTCATGTTATTCATTTTACAAATGAGAACATAGGCTTGGTGGTGTCACTAGTCCAGAGCCACACAGCTCCAGCAGTGGGGCCTAGTTTTGAACCCCTGCATGGTCTGAGCCAGAGTTGGAGTTCCTGCTGATACAGAGCTCTTAATCCTTTCCCATCCTGCTTACCCAGAAAGGACCCTCTGGATCAAGCCCGCTAGATTTTGGAAACTGCACTTGTATGTCTGTCTTGAGTATGCTTAGGGTGCATTTGTGTGACTGGAAATTTATTTGTCGCTAGTCTTTTTTTTTGCCAGGGGTAAGAATTCCTTGGGTAGGAGGAAATAATGCGGCGATAGGGTTTAAGAGTTATTTAAGTTGTCTAATGGAATGGAGCAGCCCTGTAACTTGGGGGAAAGACTAGTAAGGAACTTATCGTTCTAATCTCTGTATATCCAGTTGTATGTATTAACTATGCTCTTTGTAACTATTACTTGAATAGGTAATGTGTGACCTCTTCAGTGGAAAGGGTGGAGTTGATCGATCACTCTTTCCCAGATTTCAGGCATTCCATTATCATTAGGTGCTTGCTACAGTGTGTATTATTATCTTAGGATTTGTGTACTATTTTTTTCTTCTGTTCATCTTTCTTACTAGTGAAAATGTAAAGTCAGTGTTTTTAAAACTAATTACACAAAATAAATACGTAATTATATAAATAACCCTGGTTTAGATGATTTATAGTCTTAGCCAGCTATAAAATTTTATGGTTTTATATTGTTTCCTTCATGTATTAATTTGAGGCAATAAAATTAGCCTCTTGGGATTGCCAAAGTTCAGCTGGATCAGTGTTATTACTACTATTATTTTATGCATGAAGAAACTGAAGATCAGAAAGGTCAGTTACCTGCCCAAGGTGACAAAGCAGTTAGGTGTATTTAAACCCAGGTTGTCTGATTCCAAAGTCTGCACTTAACCCTGAAGCAAAACTGTTGTTGAGGTCTCTTGACAAGTTGTCTCTTGAATCCCCTTGAGGATCTGATAAATAACCCCCTTCAAGTTTTTCCCTGGAGTCTAAGACTCTGCTCTGGATACATAGAAGAGAAACAGTAAAATATTTGTGACCTACCTTGGTAACTCTTTGTTAGTTTTTTTCTGTCCTGATTTGTCCAGGTCTTTTCTGTGGGTGCTCATATGCCCAGGATTATTCTGTACCCTGATGAATCAGTGTTTCAGTCGGGAGGATTTTGTATGTTCAAGACTTTCTATTTTTCTGTAGAGATGATAGAAGCTTCAAATGAAATTCAGACTTGTGAAGTTAAGTTTTAACATTTCTTCAGTTCAAAACTTAACCCCATCACTTACTGGTTGACTCGACAAATCACTGAACCTGAGCTCCTCCTATGTAAAATGGTAGTAGCCACCCTGATCTTGTGTTGTGAGGACTAAACGAATCATTGGTTGTAAAGAAGCACTTAGCTTGGATCCTGGTGCATAGCACTGCTCACCTGCTGGTAACTATAATCATCTTCCAGGATTCAAGGTTGTCAAGACTCAGAGCAAAAGTTAGTAAGAGCAGAGGTATATTTTTTGGTTTGGGTGCAGGGAATTAGGCTTATGCCTTCTTCATAATTTACACAGTTGTGTATGTGTTAACCACTGGTGGGAAGAATCCTGGTAATCCTGTTTGTATAATGTGGTTATGCCAAAAAAAGTCCCACAAATTAAAAAAAAAAAAAAAAAAGTAAGTCTTCCAACATACTTCCTGTTCCTAATAACATTTTGCTAACTTAAATTTTCAACCTTCTTGGTATATTAACATACCCCTTCAGTGACAGGGCTGGCTGCCTCTCTCTTGCCTTGCAGAAAAAGCTCGCAGAATGCTTTGGACTTCATGGCTGGTCTCATGGACCCTGTGGCAAACCAAATGTGGTTTCACAGAAGTGAAAGTGAATCAGTCTGTTGGTTTTGAGGAGTAGTATGGGATTTCAGGAACTCTTTCTTTCCATCTTGATAGTTGGCTTATGGATTTGTTCCTGTATATTTGGCATCTGTTTTCTGAGATAGAATGGATACCCTTATTCTCATAGTCTAAGGTGGGAGGGTTGGGGTGAAAATTCAAAATTTAAAAATATCAATTCTTTTAAGGTATAATTCACCCTACCATATAGTTCACTCACTTACAGAATCCAATTCAGAGGTGTTTAGTACATTCATAGACTTGTGCAGTAATCCCCGCAGTCTCGGAACATTTTCATCACCCCAAATGTTCACTCGGAACATTTTCATCACCACCCCAGTGGGAAATTTAATTCCCACTGGCAGTCGTTCCCCATTTTCTCCAGCTCCCCCTGCCTCTATCGCCAGCCCTTGTCAACCACTAGTGTATTTTCAGTCTTTATAGATTTGCCTATTTCGAACATCACAGGTACAGTTTTATTAGTTTCCTCCTTGGTAGAGGTAACCAACTTTAGTAATAGAATTTTTTTTTTAATTTAATTTTATTTTTTCAGTGTTCCAAGGTTCATTGTTTACGTGCCACACCCAGTGCTCCATGCAATACATGCCCCCCTTAATACCCACCACTAGGCTCACCCAACCCCCACCCCTCTTCCCTCCAAAATCCTCAGTTTGTTTTTCAGGGTCCACAGTCTCTCATGGTTTATCATTGGAATTTCAGGTAGAACTTTGAATCCATAAACTGCTTTTTTTCAGGGGGTTTAACTAGGGGTGAGATCCCAAAGATGGAACAGTGTCCCAGGGCTAGGAGAAACCTAGGTATGCCTTTGTGTTTCAAATCCATGGGCAGGGAGTAGATTAGTTTTGGTTCATGGTACTGTGATGGGTACAGAGGATACCAAGATAAAATTAAGAATCTAGCCCCTTCGTCTGTGAACTTTCAGTCAACTTGGGCAGGGTATGTGCTGCTCCGTAATGCCTTACTTTGGGGTCTTATCCTGATGGGTGACATACAAAATGAAGCAAATGCATTTATACTTCTGTTGTTAAACCTGTAGTATTTATGAGAATTTTTGGAGATGATGTGCCTTTGTTTATTAGGTCCCACTTATAATTAGGTCCCTTTTTTGTTTATAAGGTCCCTCTTATAATTAAGAGACTATATTTTTATGGCAGTTTTTTAGGGCACTTACCAAGTACATGTCACTTTGCCAAGTGTCTACATTGTCCCATTCATCCTTATCATCATCCGGTGAGATGAATCCTCTTACTTTTCTGCATCTTAGAGTTGAGTAACTTATCTAAGTTCAATAGCTAGAAAGTTGTGTAACCAGGTTTTGAACCTGGCAATA